AAAGCGTTCAAGGCTATAACTTTTTTACTCATTTTATCACGCTTTATTTAATAACGTTTTCTCTCCTTCCCATTTTCCGATTATGAATGAAATGTGCGCACCTTTGAATCTCTGCATGTCTTTCTATCCGATCACATAAAAATATTACGCTGATAGATCTTATTCATAAAATATTAATATTTAAATGCTCAAAATATCGGTATCACATTCACTGAATGAAACAGAGGTGCGAAAGAATCTAAATATGATGCTGAGAGTGAAAATTTATCGATCATAGAAAATTCCGATTGTCAAGATTAAGAATAGAATTTATTTATCTCATTTTGTGAACATTCAAATTTGTTTTTAAAATTTTTTGATGTTTTAAAAGTTATTTAAATTGTTTTAATAATAAATTACAACCTTTATGAGTTCTTGATTTGCCGATCTGTAGATTTCGATAATTTTTTTTTTCAATAAACTTCCTTTCATAATCATAGACTAAATTCCAAAAAAAAAATGTGGTAAGAATTTTATTAAAATGTAATGCAAAACGAACATTGAAAAGTTTTAAATCTCATTCTTAGCTAAACCATATATAGGCTATGTTAAAAGCAAACCAATTTTTAAAAAGACGAATGAAAATTAATTAAAAACTAGCGCGTGTGCATGATGATGACAACATAATACAAATAAATAAGAAGCAAAAATAAAATTAGAATGCTTTTAATGGTTTAAAATAAGTAATTACAATTTTATTTTCGATTTTAATGTCCTTTTTTGAAAGTTTTTAAGATGGAGAAAAATATATGCCATTGATGTTTTATGATGTCGGATGACAAAAGTTAAATAATTAATTAATATAATTCGTTACAAAAAGGATAACCGCACACTCAATCCTGTTTGTATGAAATAAAGAAGTGTGAAGTAAATAATTAATGTTTTTTAACAAAAAATGGAATAGAATGAAGGTATGAACAACATCCAAGTAATTAATGAGGGCGTAAAAAGGTAATGAAATGCCACTTTCTGAATACAACATGGCAGGGGCGTAGCCAGGGGGGGGCCATAGGGGGCCCGGGCCCCCCCTACGAAAATCTGATAATTGTTTTATTAAGTATTTATAGAGAAGAACCAGTTAATGTAAAGGAAGTGATGAAAGAAATGTCAAATTCAGCACGAAAAATTAAATTTAATGTATGAATAATGAATTAAATATTTAAACTTATGAAGAATGAATATAGATTTAAGGATACAAAATAACAATTTTTTTAATTTTCGAAAATGGGCCCCCCCCTTAAAAATTTTCTGGCTACGCCCCTGCAACATGGTGTACCTTTTAATGGATTTACCATAGTTTGCATGAATCTAATTAAAAATATATTTTATTTGATGTGTTTTCTTTTCATACGTGTCTTTAAAACCCTATGTAGATATTATGAAGCACTTTTTCACTCGCACTTTGATGTTTTTCAGTCACTCATGTTCGCAATGCAAAACAAATGTGTGAAAGAGATCATTTCATTTTCATATTCAATTATCTCTATGATTAATTATGAATTTATTAAGTATTTTATTTTATTATATTAAGTAAGTTCATTAGTATTTAAGATTTTTTTTTTGTCAAGAAATCATATGACCTTTAAAAGTCTTAATTAACGCGTAAAACTAGCAAAATTCATAAAATAATAAATATCTGCAAAATTCATCTCATGAAATGCTTTCATAAAATCTCACCAGGAAAACTTTTCTTACTGATTCTCTTCAGAAATATTTTTATATTCAAGTGGTTTATGAGCTTATAACAGCACACGTTCGGTCGTGGGCAGGTAAATGCCGTCGGCATTTTCCAATTGTAAAAATACACACATAATTATTATTACAAGTATAGTAATTGAACAATTATCACCCACTTATGAATTGGTTTCCTCTTTTACAGCATTTTTTCTAATTCATTCAGAATGAAAAAATTCTCATTAGAATGGGAAATATTTTTCTATAAAGAGTATTATAGTATTTGAAAGAATAAAAAATGAAGGGAAGAAAAGAATTGCGGAATCATTAAAAAAATTGAATAAGTTTTCATTTCCATTTCCTGTTTGAAAAATATTCTATGAATTGGTGCACAGTAAACTAAAAGATTTTTTTTTAACATTCATGAAAGAGGTGTTGCAACTCAATTGAAGACTAACATTAAACGCAGGGTTCAAGTAGCAAATGTCCAAGAAATCCATAATAATCTCTCCAATTTATGTCGTGCTGTGCCTAATGCTTTAATTAAAAAATACTTGGAAAATGTTTTAAAGTACATTTTCAATGCGAGGGTGGTTTTTCAGTGTATATGTACATAAAAATATGTTTGTTAGACAATATGCCTGCGTTGCCTTATTGTTGCGATGTCGTTGACAACATAATAATAATAATAATGTTTTGTGAGGAAAAATGAAAACGGAGCTGGATCGACAGTCGGCAAGGGTGGAATCTCCTCTTTTTAATGCATAAAATATTTCTATTGTATTATATACCAGCCCGAGAAATGGAAAATCGGGGTTAAAGGCATTTAAATACTTTTAAAATTTTTGCTTTTACATATAGGCACTGCAGTTTTAGCACAAACGTAACTTTAAACTGTATTATTTGCATGAAAATTCAATGAAATATCGATTCGTGCTTTAATATTCTTAAGTGCTTTATTTAAATATTTTTATTTTAAATGCCTTTCGTGCACGTTTGCTTTAATTAGGGTAAATACTTTTGAAAATTGCACACTTTTGAAATTTGCTCATATGAAAATAAAAAATACAAATTTCTCCCAGAATATCCACTTCTGATAATACTTTCTTCACAAAATCTTTGTATAATTATTGTACAAATGCTGTTGTACCACTTTGAGTTGTTTAAAGGCATCAGGAAGATCAATTCCTTCAGCAATCAATTTTTCATACAAAACGAAACTTTGCAAAATATAAAGTTTTGGGATAGAATCAGTGGCTTTATCAAATATTTAGATATCCAAAAATGTAGTTCTTAAGCTGTTTAAAATTTTGGAAGTATTTCTTTTGTGAAAGAATACGCGGAAGTGCCCAAAAAATCACTTTTAAAAAACTTGTTTTTCACTTTTAAAATTTGCACAAAAATGTATCAAAACTTTTAAAATTTGCACACTTTTAAGCTTAGGAGATATTGCGAAATTTGATGTAAACATCAATTCTTCTTATGTAAACATAAATTTTTCTGATTCAAAACGTTAATGTTTTATGCCTAAAATAAAGATAAAAGAGAATGGTGATTTTAAAAAATTAGAGGATATCTGAGGATATATTTTGGACATGTCGGTTATGAAGAATTTAATCTAGAAAATAAAGAAATGTGCTATGCATCTAAACTTTCGATACAGCAAGTTTTAATTCTTACAAAGAATAATTATAGATGAGTTTGAATGATATAACAAACAGCTTATATTTGAGATTTACTCGCACAACTTGATTTTGTAGATAATCCATATAATGGATATGCAGCTTTTCCTTGCATGATTTTTGTTCAATTTTCCTGTTGATATTCAACGACGATGCTTCTTACGATGTTATAAAAACACAATAACAATAAATTTATTGGATTTCTTTGGAACTTTCCGACGAAACATAATATTTCTTCACCCTTAAAATTGTAAACATATTGTTTGTTGACACAAATTTGATTCAAAAATGTCATGGATTGCTATCAAAAAATGCACATTTCAAAAGTTGAAAATAAAATGCGAATATCACTGCTGATAAGCATCGTAGCTTTAAAAAAGAGGTTGGAAATGAAAATTTCCACTATTTTCAATAGTTTAAAACCTTAACCAAGTCTTAACAAAGATCGGTTAAAAAGTTTCACGCAAATGAAATTTTCATGAACAAAATTGTGCATGTGTCTGAATTTATCCTTGAAAATCATAAATAATTGTAATCACTCTGTTTTTTTTTTTCACAAAAAATGTTTTGCATGAGTATCCTCAAATGACTGCAATGTTGTGATATCACCATTTGGCCACTGAAAAAAGCCATTGATTTATGCTTTTCTTCTCCCTTTGCACTCTCATATTATTATTAAAGTTTAAAAATTGAATTTATGCATTGTCCAGTGTGAAATTATTGTCTTTTTTTGGTCAGACTTATTTTTTTTATTTTCGAAATACGAGAAATATTATACCTTCTATGCACTCAATGGTGCTATAAATCATAAGAAGTAAAAGAAATGAGCGAAAAACGAGAAAATTTAACTAATTTAGCATTTTACTTCTCTTTCGTGTATGTATTGAACATAAATAACCAAAAAAAACCAGAATTTTGTCCATATTTCAGCGGTTTATTTATTCATGATATATAACGTTTCGAAGTTATCTAGAATTCTATCCACATCAGTTCTCTTTTAAAAACTTTTTAATATAGTAGCTGAACAGTCCCTTAAATGCATGATTTTTTAATCGTGTTTTAGCCACACTATCTTAAAATTTAAGAATTCTAACGTTAAGAAATCAAATGGAATTGTTGAAAAATAAATTAATTAATAAAAAAAAGTATATACAAATAAACAATAAATCGCCAAAATGTGAGAATATAATAATGATTTAATTAATTAAATTTTTCATAATTAATTAGTTTTGAAGTAACAGCAAAAATGAAAATGAGAAAAAGAATAAAGAAAAGAAAAAAATATAAAGAGCTTTAGTAAACAAAGCATATCATAATTGACATATTTAATTAAGTTGAAGCACTTCAAAACTTAGTGCTTCTCATTTACTTGTCGACAATATTCCATAATAAAAAGTTTAATGAATTGGAATCTAATTTTTGAACGAGTAACAAATGATTCAAAAATGGTAATTTTGACGCATTTTATTAAGAGGTATTTTCAAGTTGTAATTTTAATATTTTAGAACTATAGAAGCTCTTTATCCCTTGAGTTGTGACAGATAAACAAACTGATTCTAAAGAATGCTATGCTTTTAAATGATGTTAAAGAGTTTTGTTAATTACCTTTGTATTAGTACTTTTGAAGCTACAGCTTATTTCCAGTATGAATCTGACACGATAAACTTCAACTTCAATTAAAATTCTTATAAAAAGTTTTATATTCTTCTCGGATACTTATTGCAAATTTTATTTTTATTATTATTACTACTATTGCACTTTGAGTTTCTTATACGAACAATCGAGATGGTTGTTCCATTTTCTTATTGGATGTACTTAAATGTCGCATAGTAAAAAACTTCCACTGCTTAGAACACAATAAATAACATCGATATATTATTTCATATTATTATTTTTTGATATTATTATTCTATAAAATTCTGAATTCCTATTCAATATCATTGCGTTCACGACTTCTTTTTATAATATTATACTGATTTTAAATTCACCGGGGGTTTCGTTGAAAATCAAAAGCACTAAATTATGTTCACTTTTTTATAGTCCATAAAAGATCAACTTCTTTTACTTATATATTTATGAAATAAAAAAGCTTTGAATAAAAATTAAATATTCATAATTTTTTACAGTATGTTTTATATCATAAGTGATTTATAATCTTATTAATCGAACGTGATTTTATTTAGCCTTTTGCGGTCAGATTTATCTTTCTTGTCTTCTCGTTTATGTCTCTTTCTCACTCATATCTAACTCTTGAAGTTTTTCTTACATATTTATTCGAAATTCGATTTACATATCCGTTTTTCAGACTGCAATAAAATTGAAATAAATTAATGATGTGGATATTAATATACATTTTTGGTTTTCAATTTTTTCCTAAAATATTTAAATCTTTAATTATGAACAGAGTTGAAACTGTTCTGTCTTAAATTAAAATCTCAAATTACTCGAATTCAATTTTTTTGGACGAAAAAGTATAAAACAAGATATTTATGACAGTATGATGTTATTTACTCAATAAAACAACCCTGGCTATGACAATACAATAAGATGACTTAGACAGAGAAATAAAATTTAATTTTATGAGTTTTTTGTGCTTCAAAATATTGACTGAAAAGCATATTTTACGGTTTTGTTTTCCAATTAAAAAGGAATTAACTTTATTACGGCTAAAATTATTATTAGATTTGAACATATAAAAAAAATTATAAAATTTTAGGGTTTTTTTCTTCAAAAAATCTTTCTTGATCCTTAAGATTTTCAATAAAAGCTATGATTAAGTGACTTCTATGCATTCATAATTTTTAAAAATATTTTGTTTGATGCTATCAGATAGTTTCATTTTTGAAAGTTTTCATCATCGTAATTGTGCTACTTAACTGAAAAAAGCTCTTTTTTTAACGTGATATTATAAAATCTATAACAGAAACTTTTTACATTCACACCGTATTCACGTGTGAATCTATTGGTTTTGTTAGGATATGGAGCAAGATAGCTCAAAATGTTCAGAAATGAAAAGTTTGTGCCTTGAATTTCACATCTTTTGAAAAAAAAACAGATTTCAAATTGGTTGCGGCATTGCTGAGAAAATCGCAAAATACGCTTTCTGTAAGCAAACAAGCAAGCAAGCAAGAAGCATGCAAGTTAATCAGCAAGAAATCTCAATAACGAGACATCGTAGAGACTTCTAGTTTTTTACATTTGATCCGTGCTGCTCTATAGAAGAACTGTATTGTTTTTGGGCAAGGTAAGAACAGCCGTTGCTTCAGAAAAAGCAAAAAACTTTCCTATCTTATGAATTATTTAAAACAAAAGTTCACTTCGATTTTTATAAAATTAAATTTTAAATGAAAAATTTTTTTAAAGAATGTTCGTTAAGCCTTAAACGTTCAAAATTATGCTGAGCGAAGCTCAGCTAACTCGCTAACTTTTTACCTTCAAACTTATACATAAGACTTTTGATGGTACGATGTGAATATAATCCGCATTGGGTTTCTACCCGATACACTAGTTTCTGATGGAAAGGACTTTAAGAAATTTATAGCATTCACGTGTCAACAAAATTTGAAATAATTTTTTCTTCTTTTTGTGAAACTTTATAACCACTGGAGTAACAACAAACAGAGTAAAATTACAGCCAAAAATGACCTCGTGAAAATATCATACAAGCCAAAAAATTTAAGCTAAAGTTATGCTAATTTTGTAATATTTATACAATACAAATAATCAATTTCATTGCATCAAATAAAGACTCACGTTTTAGTAAGAGCAATGTAAACAATTAAAAAATGTTGTGCTGCGGCAAAAGCTTTAGAAATATATCGAGTTACAAGACAAATGCCGGGAGTGTTTCTTTGATTTTGAAAAATTCTAAGAATAATGTGTTTTTCTTTATTTTTTCACACACAAAAGCACGAAAAAATTGATGAATAATGAAAATGATGACAGGTATAATACAATAGTTGGTTTTCGCGGCTTTTAAAAAGCGACCACGTCTCAGGGTTGATATCTTTGCATTCAAAGGCATTCTTTTATTAAACTCTAAAACTTTCATTTTTGAATTAACGGCTAATGTTTGCATATCAAAAATTCGTCCTGAAAATGGCTACACTAATTAATAAATTTCTGAATCTTACTCCAAAACCTGGTTAAAATAGGAGAAAAGAATACGCAAAGCTTACAAAGGCAGTGCCTTTGCATGTTTTTATCTTCCATTGTATTTTGACCATCTCTAGTTTAGTAAAATGAGAATTTAACAGCTTAAATAAAAATATTGGCTTCAAATTCAAAAAAAACAACCCTGCCACGTCTTTTCGATGTCGAGAGAGAAAATTTCCGCATTTGATTATTATGCAAATTTTTTTCTGTTATTCTTTAACAACAAATAAAAATAATAAAAAAAAAATATTCTGTGTGTGAGGCTTGTGATATTGTTGTTGTATCTGTCACACAAACAGTTCTGAAATCTCAATTTGAACACACAAAAAATGCACAATGTTTGTAAGTAAATACATAATATTGCAATTAATTGCACATACTTTTATTTACACGTTCGATTTATCGAAAAACTTCTTTCTTTTTTAAACCACGGAACAACACAAAAAAGCTCCAAGCTTGCAAAAATCTTTCAAAGAACTGACATTTTATTATTATTCACTTGTTTTTTGACTTCTTTGAGACTCGAAAACATTTTTTTTTTATTATTTCAGTTCTTTTTTTTTGTATTTCTCATACACATTACTGGATAATAATAATTGAGAAAATGTGTGCTTGTTTCTTGTGCTTCTTTACATATACAACGTATTTTCTCTCGCGCGCGCGGAGCAATAAAAAGGTCGTTTTATACGTACATACATACTGAATTTTCTGTATTTTATTATTTCTTATTTTTCACACAGAAAAAGTATATGTATAGAGAATTCCATTGAAATGTTGTGTAATGAGAGGAAAAGAGCATGCGTCCGCCTTTTTACTTGGGGGCGAATATAACCAAAAAATAAAAATAAAATTGTGTGTATATATCATTGCTGCGGATTCGTTACCCGTTGTATTTATATGATATTTTATTTCCCCAAAAATTTTGTTTTGCCCCATTGCCGCCACATGTACATAAGTTATTCTTTTTATTCATTACCATCAATGGAGCAATTAAAAGTAACAAAAATATATATTAAGAAAAAAATAAATGAGGATATTGAAGTGTAGATGAGTACCGAATACGTACACAAATGAGTTATGAGTCGCATATTGAAACTGGTTAAAACGGTTTGATACATTTGGAAAAAGGTAATAAAATTTGTAGCACACAACGGCAGTAAAAGAAGTTTATGGGATGAAGAAACGAAATAAAAATAATTAGATATAAAAAAACTTTTCAATTTATTAAGTGATACGCACTGCAAGATTCCACTATCGCGCCTCCGCTCAATAAGAAAACACTGAAAAGAAAGAGAGAATAAAATAATAATAATAATAACATAAAGAAAGTTCACGCTGCTTTTAGATATCAAGCTACTGCTGTGTGTGCCAAAGCGTGTAATACGCTCATTCATTCACACTTTTTTTTTACTTCTTCATCATCATCATCGTCGTGGTTGTTCAGAAGCAGTTTTTCGAATTTTCGAAACTGGTGTAGGCGTGGTGCCTTTCAGTGTATCAATGTGTAAGATATTTTATACAAATACAATACAAGATATAAAAAATAATTTGTTAAGCATAAAAGGGGAAATTGAAGATGCGCAGTATAGCTATTAATATAACGTAAAACTTTTTTATTTATTACATTCTATAAACCTTGGTAGTGGCAAAAAAACTTTAAAAATTGCATTTTTAAAAAAAAAATTCAAGATGAAAAAAAATTATAACAAATTTTAAAGCGTCTATTGATTACTTATTTTGTACATACATATATACCCATATTTTGATGTCACAAACAATTGGCATACAATTTTTAAAGGAGAAATCTGGAACATAAAATCGATACAAAAAGAAAAGGAAATAATGGTAAAAATGTGACATTGCATATTCTTCCTTTACTTGTTTCTATTTCATGCTTTTTATGTTAAAAGTAAAGAAAAGTTGTATTAATTTTTTTTTTTATAGTTGCGCTTAGAATTAATTTAGCTAATTCGTTCTTATAATATAATACCTAAATTCTTATTTTTATTAAAGTAATTTTTGGGCTTAAGGTGCTATGCACGCATTCAAGCGTAATTGTTTTGGCCATAAAACTTTTATAATATAACATAACAACAGCAGGTTACTATTTTTTTCTTTTAAAAGAATGGAATTAAATTACTTTTTTTCTCACTTCTCACATATAACATTAGAAAAATCACCTTTTTTTACCAGAATTAGAAATTTTGTTCATTTTTTTTTTGCTGTCATAATTGTTGGCTTTCAACCAATATATATTTTATGAATTTAAAAAATACAATTTTAGTTTTGTTTTTTAATAAATTTTAAAAAGATTGTTAAAATATTAAATCTTTCATGAATGAAATGTTAATAAAGATTGTTAAAATAATAAATCTTTAATAATATTTTTCAATGCGTTTTAATCAACATTCCACAAAGGAATTTGATTAACTTTTTACATTTTTATGAATGTATGTACACGCGTGTTATGTATACATAGGCTTGAGGAAAATGTAATAAGAAATAAATTTTTAGAGCAGGTGAATACTATTTATTCGTTTATATCATAAAGAATGTTTCATTGTGCGCTTTTCTGAAATGAAAATGGCTGATATAAAGGAGAAGAAAAGACATGCTTTGATATATTTTTTTTTTATCTTCTTTCATTTCTTA